AAACAACCTCTATACAACGAAAGGAGACTGCGACCACACAAAAGGCCACAGCATCTTGGTCTTCATACCTGTGACCTATTTAGTTTGGATACTACATGTGGTGCATACATTGAATTATCAAAAGTTATTGGCCTATTTCCTACGAATACATTCATCTTTTATCGATAAGTATTAGGATTTCATTTTAGTAAACTTATCGCTAAATAACGAAACATAATATTAGCGTCCCTGAGAATTGAGCTATCTGAAACATCTACTTTGTTCAAATTTTAATCTTGATTCGAAATAAAGCACTCTCTTACGATGTATTATTGCCTGATCCTATGCCAGTAGTACACGAAAATGTTGACTCCTTTCAGAGAAAATCATATTCCTGATAGGACTTCATACTAACCGTGACTACTCCAACTAATTAAATTACAGGATATGAATAGACAGTATAGGGAAAGTAGTGTTTTTTTTCAGTATTATCTAAAGGACGGTTAAATATGAAGTACCAGAATCCAACCATACAAAAATTGTTGAAAGGGAGCTTCACCTCTGTGAAAATGCATGTAGAAACCCTCTAGCTTAATTTATGCTTATTTTACTAACAGAAAATCTGTTAGTTTTTGAAGGAAAATGTGCACCCATAAGTTTCAATGGCAAATAAAGAAAATAGGTTGACTTATACATAACTCCTCTTTCATACAACATTCTTCCTTGACTTGGCGTATACAAACCACCATTAATTTGTATTAGGTATATAGGTTTAAGGAGACTCAGAGAAAGCGATTTTTAGCATGGCTTTCTAATGAAAGAGGGATTTTCTGTAGAACAACATACTTGTGATCGGCATTGATTGCGCCACGAATCACCAATTGGCGTGAGTCTGGATCCAAGAAGACGACCGTATTCCCAGAATTCTTGAATTCATCTGGATCCACTGATTCTGCAATGGAGAACGTAGCTTCCACCGATTCAATCTTTGAATCTTGGGATGCCGTCATTGGTGATTGTAGGGCATGTGGCGATGGCTGTCGATAAGAGAGGCAACCATTTGAAGAAGGAGAAGCAGCATTGTTCGAATTCTCATTAAAGCTTGTTACTGATGTGCAAGAATTGGACTGAACTGCTTCTAGGTTAAGATCAGATGGCAAATTTAAGTCTCTACAACTAGCTAGCGAAGCCTGGTCATTTCTTAAGCTAGGGCCAACTGACTGCTTCATTTTTGTGTCATGTGAAGTCTGCTGAGAATGCAATAAGTGATGAGATTCATGGACAAATGGGAGGGTCGGTGAAGCAATGCAGTGTGAAGTCCCAGGATTATGACCTTCAGGCTCTAACAAGCAGGCCCATGAGTCTCCTTTGGACAGGTTGCGCTGCCGCTGTTTCTGATTTTGTTGTTGATGATGAGAGTAGTTGAGAAAATGTGAAGAGTGTGAATGCACTTGCGATTCAATTTGCTGTACTGGCTGAGACTGTGAATAAGTGTAGGAGTTGGAGCAATTTTTATGGTGTGCATTAATTATACAGAGCTTGGAGGTAGCCTGCTGCAGCTGGCCAAGCATCGTCTCGTTGGTCAACTGACAAGAAGTGGAGACGACCGAGGCCTCCGATAGTTCTTGACCTGCCTTCCGATGACTGCGAGATTTTTCTGGCCAGTTAATCCGACGTGCTAACAGTGGTCCATTGCTTCGGCCCACAAACCTTTTAATAATGTCCAGAGTACAGGGCGGAAAATGTAGAAGGCAGAAATAGCGAATCACTTTCAAATGAATATATTTTTTCTGTAAAAGAATATTAAGTGGCATATTTTACTAATTATATGTGTATTAGCACACTCTCTTTATGCGTTCTAAAATATTATTTAGCTAATTTGTTTCTACAAAAGTTAGCTCATTTGGTTTTCAGCTAAACTTATGTCTGATAATCTAGAGACTCCAAAATTTGGTGTAATCTTTGAATAGCTAGAAATAAATCTTTTTAATAAATTAAGTATATCCTTGCATAATGGGGTTTATTCGTAAAGTAGTGAAATGACTTTCGTGATTTAATTTTTAAGCCTTTTAAAGCCCACATGAAGAGCAACGGCATTCAAGTATTCCGTTGATTGTAAGACGGCTTTAGAAGTGATCAGAAACATCAGCGTATAATGTATTGATTCTAAACTGTTTATAAATTCATAAAGCTTAATAAACGAAATACCTTGACCAGTTTTCATCTGACCTCAAATTTTTTAAGATCCGACTTAGCCTAATTATTCTCTGAAGTGTATCTATAGAAAATTCTATAGAGTTTGGGACATATAGCAAAAAAAGATGTTAGTAAATTCTAATTTCCACTGATTTAAGAAAAGAGATAAAAATATTTGGGCGTCTATCGCTCTTATTGAACGTCTTTTATCTAGAGTGCGGTGATCGGCTTTACTGGGATGCTGAGAACTTTGCTCTTATCTAATCACAGATTTCTCACTTCAGTGTATATGATGTCCTTTATTGATGGCGATCTGCTTGGTAATATGTTACTCGCTACTTTGATTATAGCTATAAGCAAATCGACATATTATGCAAAAATTAGACATTGCGAACCAAGTTGGTCGTGTAACCATAACTAATCATGCTGCCACATAGGCTTGAGAGAAACATATACCCTTTGTCTCCTACATTACCACTTCATATAAATGAGCTACTCTAGAAATATATTAATATTCGTTACATCGCATCTGGCAAGGATAAGGTTCATGGAATAATAGTCTAGAAATCAAAAAATAATAGTCGTCAGGATTTAGCTCGAAATTTTTAAGCCATCTATTCTCATAAATAGTGTCGAAGAGATAATAAAACGAATTAAAGAGCAAGAATAATTGATGCCAAAAAAAGTTGGGTTTCGAGGAATCTCTTGTTTCATAATTATTGAGCTTACTTCCATTTCAAGTGAAATTGTTGGGTGAAGAGATTTGAAAGTCGGCTCCACCA